AAAGGAAAGAGGGAGTGAGGGAGGGGTGGCTAATTATATAGGAAATCAGCATGAAGGGAAGGGTTTTAATCTTTTGATGGCAGAGACTTGAGTGTGTTTTAAGTGCTGAAGTGGCAAATGGAGAAAGAGATCAAAGATACAAAAAAGGGAGTAATTGTAGGAACAAGGTGTTGGAGGAAGCAGGAAGGGATGGGATCTTAAGCACAGGCAGGTAGAACATTCGCCCAGACATGAGGTAATGGATAGTATAAATATAGGTAAGCTTGTAGGTAAAGGAGAAGCCTCTGTACTCTTTGTCATGAGGTAATAAGGACCAGATAAGCTAAATGGTTGGTATAGGGTCTCACACCCAATTTGGAGCACTTCTGGAGTTAGAATTCATCGTGCTGTCCATGACATCATAGGCTCTTCCAGTGAAAAACTCCCTTTCCTTGACTTCTAAGATGCTAGGTTATTATCTCAGGCTTATTTGAGGCATCCTTTTCTATTTCTTTTTCTGGAACTTTTTTTTCTTCTCTCACCATTTCCGTGTGTTCTGAGCCCCCTGTAGTGTGATACAGTTGAACAGTTACGGATCTTAGTGCCTTATCTGGTTTCAGACTCTGACTCTATTCTTCCTGGCTTTGTGATCTTGGGCAAGGTGCTTCACTCTACTGAGCCTTTCAGGTTCCTCATGCATGAAGTGGGGACAATAACACTGACCTTCAGATTGCATGAAGATTAAGTGAGATAATGTGAATGAAACGCTTAGCACAATCCCTCCTATTAAGAGGTGCTGAGAAATAGAACTCCCTGTCTAGTCTCTCTTCCTTGGTGAGCTCCCTAAAAACTCAGGCTCCTTGCCTGTATGCAGTTTTGAGAAAGTTGCTTCATCTTGCTGATTTTGTTGTCTCATGTCAAAAATGGAGAAAGTTCTTCTTACTATACAACATTGTTGTGAAGATGAGCATGACTGGAAATCTTCAGGAGGATGGTCAATAATTGTTGAATCTTTTTTTTTTTTTTTTAGATTTTCTTTATTTGAGAGAGAGAGAGTGCTCACACAAGTGTGGACTGGGGGAAGGGCAGAGGGAGAGGGAGATGCGGCTTCCCCATGATCAGGGAGCCCCATGCGGTTTGATCCCAGGATCCTGGGATTATGACTGAGGCTGAAGGCAGAAACTTAATCAACTGAGCCACCCAGGTGTCCCATCTTTTTTGAATCTAAATCTCATCTACTTCCTGAGCTTCACTTAACGACTCCTAGAAACACCTCTCCCAAATATATTTTCCAGCCTGTTCTTCTCACTTGAACATGAGGCTCTATTTCTAACTACTTGTTGGAGATTGCGTGGATCACCTACCAAAGGGTGTAGGGAATTTATTTTTAACTTGTTATAATCAGAACTTGTCTTCGATCTCTTCCTCATCATAGATAGTTGGCAAGCCCCTTCTCCTGACTGTTACTTTCCTGGTGGCTGCCATGTCTTCCATTTCTTCTCATCCTGCTGGTCATTTTCTATTTTTTTCTTGATCCATCATAGCCAAAAAGGCTGATTCCCATGCAGCACTTCTCCGTCTCCTTTGCCAGGTGGCTTTTCATTGGAAGCCCCTATTTATAAGAGAGAAAAAAAGCTTATGTTCTGCTAGGGACCATAGTCCCATTAATTAGAAGCCAAGACTACCTGCTTGGTTATTTGGGGCTCTCCTGCCACGGGGCATATCAGCTGCTTACTAAGGAGAAATTTGGTATTGATGCACAGAATAGTAAATGGACAATTGTTGTCCTCAGGACTCAGATCCTGTAGGAATAAAGGTTTGGGTCACCCTTGCTGACCAAGAGTAAGAGAACACGCAGGGAGTGGTAGGAGAAGGTGAGTTGTGATTATCAGCTTTGGCCTCAAGACTAGTTACAGAGGTGGGTGTATAACTTATGCTGATTGATTTTTTTTTCTTTAGTCTCCCACTTTCCTGCTATCCTGTATGAAGTTCTGGAGGTAGTTATCATTACAAGTTAGGTCCTTCTCAGAATGTGACTGAATTGACATCACCCTGCAGCTGACAGTAGCTCAAGGGTTTTCTCACATGCTGGGGATCAGACTATTTCCATCTGAGGGAAGAGCAAAAATGGATGCTAAGAGGCAAAACTTGTGGACTCTTCTGGTTAACCTCCCCTTGTGCCTGCTCCTCTTCCTCTGCATCTATTCTCTATCTTCCTACCCCAGGACTCTGATCCCTATAGATTATACCACCCAGTGGCTTCCTGCAGTGCAAAGTACAGGCAAGAGATACAAAGGTGGGAGGGGAGAGGTTGGGATATTTCTTCCTCACTCTTTCTCTGCTCAAGTGCTACACTTTTGGCAGTGAATACAGTTTTTTTGTTTTTTTGTTTGTTTGTTTGCTTTTAAATAAGTGATGCTCTTTTCCATGGTTACAGCTCACACAGTGCTTGGGTAACATTTTCTTTCTCTTGACCCTTTTTACAGGTCAGGTTTTATGGGAAAAAGACTCTGATACTCTCTGCCTTTAGGAGGTTTCCTGGGGAGTGCTCTTGGGTTTACTACTTGAGGTGAGAAAGAGAGGGATACAAGATTGGGCAGAGTGAGCCGGGATGGCCCGCCAGTTAGTTGTCTCAACTTGGAGCAAATGGGTTAGACCTTTATATCTTCATGTTGGTCAGTCACTGATGCAGTTGCTGGGGGAGGGCATGTCTTCAGTGAGGAAGTTCCTTTTAGTGGAGGACAAGTCCCAGAAAGGGATCTGGCTAATACCTGTTGGCCACTAGCACTCCCAGCTGCTGGTGGATGAGTTTAGTCTTGGAAGGGAAGCAAAGTGTTGCTCCCCTTACACCTTTCAGACTGAAGGGTCTTGATGATTTCCCACTATTGCTGGTCCATGGGTGTCTTAGCATCAATTGCTGGCACTCTTAATTTACTCATACCGCTGTGCATTGTCTCTGTTAAATTTTCTTAATTGAACAATCTGAGTTGATTTGCTTCTGGGCTTCAATATAGATGGTAATTTAAAAAAATCACATAAATATATAAAAACAAATTCTCATATGTTCAAGAAGAATTACAGTATCCTATAATAGGAAGACCTGATCTGGCTGGGGAGGCAAGGGCAGGTTTTGTCAAGGAAGTGACATTTGAATTGAAATCTGGAGGGGGAGCCAAATTAACTAGGAAGAAGAGCATATGAAAGAAAGGGAGGGGGAAAGAGGAAGGGGAGGCGGGGAGAGAGATATAGGGAGAGAGAGAATATTCTAACTGAAGAAAACATAGTCTATGTGGCAGGAAATAAGGCTGGAGAAAGACAGGGAAAGCACTCTCAGGGCTTTATGGCCCTCATTAAGGATAATCTAAAGATAATGAAAAAGTTTTGAAGGTTTTTGAGCAGAAGAGGGATATAATCAGATTTGCATTTGAAGATCTCTCTGGCTAATCAAAGACCAGTGTCATTTTTAACGTGAGGAAAATTATCACTTACTGCCTATGTCTGTTAAAAGTAGAAAAGGCTTTTTGGTTTCTAGAAGTCTTCAGACTAGCTGGACAGAAGTTTCTATCACTTGGCAAAACCTACATATAAACAGAGTAATTCATGGACAGAATGCTACATGCCATAGTGCCTGTTGTCTCTTTTTCACAACATGATAATTTGTTGCTTTTCCCCCTTGCTGGGTAGGATAGATAATACTAACAATATATCAACTACTAGACTTTTAATACAATAACAATTTGCACTGCATATCAAAAAGTTGGGGGGTGCCTGGCTGGCTCAGTCTATGGAGCATGTGTGAGTCTCCTGGTCTTGGGGTTGTGAGTTCGAGCCCTATGTTGGGTGTAGAGATTACTTAAAAAAGTAAACTCTTTAAAAAAAAAGGTTGGAAAATACTATATACTCTATCAGAACTTTTTATTTCACTTTTCACTCATTTTTGAGTCTTTACAAAATATATAAACTTTCACAACTTTGGTCTTAGAATTGATTAAATAGGATTTCTCTTTATCTTCTCTTCAGGTATGTTAATGAAAAAATGCAACTAGGGAGTGCTAGTCATGATTTCACATTCGAATGTAGCCTGGGACCTCAGGGCTCCTTTCTTGGTTTCTCAGTTCTTGATGACTAGTGAGCAGAGATTCATAGAGCACCCCCTTCCCCAGAGCCCAATCCCTTGCTGAATATACAGAGTGAGGAAGAGGTGACAGTCACATAGGGTGACCAGAGCTCAGAACATTAGCATCACCCAGTGTTTCTATCCTATTACCCTTTGTTGGCACCCACTTGCCATACCTACCCTGAGAGGTTCAGAACCAGGGCCTGCCTGGTCATGTGCCATTGGTTTTTTTTTTGCCTCTAATAATTTGGGCATGAAGATTCTCTATATTCTTCTGTATTCAGAATACATCTGAATAAATAACCTGAAAACAATTTCTGTCATCTCATTGGGTTGGTGTTATTGAATTTCATCTTTTAATGTATATTGAAGTCCTCTCTCCCAATACCTCAGAATGTGACCTTATTTGGAAGTAGGATATTGGCAGATGTACTAGTTAATATGAAGTTTGGGGGGGGGCTGGGTGGCTTGGCTGAGTGTCTGCCTTTGGCTGCCTTTGGCTCAAGTCATGATCCCAGGGTCCTGGGATTGAGTCCTACATTGTTACTCCCTGCTCAGCGGGGAGCCTATTTGTCCCTGCCCCTCTTCCCCTATGCTTTCTCTTGCTCTGCTGTCTCTCAAATAAATAAATAAATAAAAATATTTTTTTTAAAAAGATGAAGTTTTACTAGAATAGGGTGGGCCTTTAATCCTGTAAGACTGCATCCTTCTAAGAAGAGGAGAGATACAGAGACAGAGACCTATGGGAAGAATGTGGCCACGTGAAATTGGAGGCAGTTTGGAATGATGCATCCACCTAAAGCCAGGGAACACCAAAGATTGTTGGCAAATACCAGAAACTAGAGGAGGCAAGGAAGGATTCTTTTTTTTTTTTTTTTTAAAGATTTTATTTATTTATTCATGAGACACAGAGAGAGGCAGAGACATAGGCAGAGGGAGAAGCAGGCCCCTCATAGGGAGCCTGATGTGGTACTCCATCCCGGAATTGGGATCATGCCCCGAGGCAAAGGCAGCCGTCAACCGCAGAGCCACCCAGGTGTCCCGGAAGGATTCTCTTTGACAGGTTTCAGAGGGAACAGGGCTCTGTTGACATCTTGATTTTAGACTTCTAGCTTCTGGAACAGTGTGACAATAAATTTCTGTTGTTTTAAGTCACCCAGTTTGCAATATGGCAGCCTGAGGAAACCAATATAGTTGGCTTCAGTTTTTATCCTAAACCCCTAAGATGAAGCCCTACATCTATTATCATTTAAGTTTGAGTCATATTTGGTAAGATTTACTGAATACTGTAGAAAAAAATTATTGAGCACTACAGAAAATATTTTGTTCTGAGGCAGCTGAGTGGCTCAGTTGGTTAAGTGACTGACTCATGACTTCAGCTCAGGTCATGGTCTCAGTGTTGTGGGATTGAGCCCTATATGGGTCTCCGTGCTGGGCATGGAGCCTGCTTAAGATTCTTTCTCTCCCTCTCTCTCTGCCTCTCCCCTGCCCCCAAGCACTCTCTCAAAAAAAAAAAAAATGAGAAAATATGGTTTCAAATGGGATAAGTACTTTGTTTCTATTAAAGGTAGGCTTTAATTTTTTGCCTTTTGGATAATTATCAAGAATACATCAACTGTGCAGTTTGCTTTTTTCTCATTAAGAATATTTCTTTATTTTTATTTTTAAATTTAATTTCATTAAGTTCAATTAATTGACATTTAGAGTATTATTAGTCTCAGAGGTAGGAGCATTTTTTTTTAATTCACACAATTAATCATAAATCATTGTTCGATCTCTGAAATTTCAAATTCATTGCCCCCTTTCTAGGCACCACGTTCTTGCCTATTTTCCTCTCAACTACTATGCAGCCATTGAACATTCTCTTGGGCCTTCCCTGGATTGTATGTGAAGCTCTCTTGTTGTATTTAGGCCGTTTACTAAATTTTGTCCACCACATTCTTTAATCTACGTCATACTACATAGTCAGCCTCTTAATGATGACCTTCATTATTACCTTTACCCCCCCCAACCCCCTCTAGCTGATGTTCACACTGTGTCAATCTGCAGTCATCCACTATCTCTGTTCTAGGGTTCTAGAGTGGAGAGTAGATCTGTGTACATGGCACTCACTCCTTACCCAAGCTGTCCAGCTCCCTTCCGTGAGTCCTCATTTGGTAGTTCCTTTATTCACCACTTGTTGAGTTGCAAAGAAACTCCTCACCACTGCCTTTTCTTAGATCCACTCCAAACATGATTTCTGCTCTCCTTATTGAGACCTAGTGTGGCAACTCCACTTGTATTCTCTTCCATATTCATCTAATTCTCTGCAGAATCTTCAATCCTTCGATTACCTACTATTTCTTCATCTAACAATTCCCATGTATTCAACTTTAAGTAACAGAAGAACCCAACTATTAGGAGTTCATTTAGTGCTTCTCAAAATGTAAAATACATCTGAATCACCTAGGGAGCTTGTCAAAATAGAGATTTTTGTTTAGTTGGTCTGGGGTGGGCCCTGAGTGTTTGTATTTCTTACAAATTCCCAGGTGGGGATCCCTGGGTGGTGCAGCGGTTTGGCGCCTGCCTTTGGCCCAGGGCGCGATCCTGGAGACCCGGGATCGAATCCCACATCGGGCTTCTGGTGCATGGAGCCTGCTTCTCCCTCTGCCTGTGTCTCTGCCTCTCTCTCTCTCTGTGACTATCATAAATAAATAAAAATTAAAAAAAAAAAACAACAAATTCCCAGGTGATGGTAACACTCCTGATCCCATCACAGGAATTTACCCTTTGTATGCATATGAAGTCATCCTTATGGGGTAAGCTCGGTATTTGCATGATGGCTTTGACTCTTCCGGTCTGCCCCTCATGATCTCAAGATCCTGCTGTAGCTCCAGACATCCCATCCTCACTTGACTGCGTCCAAAGGCGACTCAGGTTAAGGTTTGACTAGAGAGGAGAATGAGAGTCTTTCTCCTCCCCTCCTCTTTTCCTCAGGGAGGCAAATATGTGTTGAAGCCTCTCAATTCTCCTTACAACTCATTGGCTTGGAACTGGGTCACACCTGACCGCTCACTGTCAAAACAGAATGGGATAGATAAATTATGATTTATGTTAAGAGGCTGGACATACTGCTAAACAAGTTAAGTCCTGTCAGCGGAAAGAGGGAGGATGGCCCAATAGAGTAGTTTCAGCCATATATGGTTTTCAAGTACCATCTTGAGGTGAAAAAAAATTTTTTAAATAATACTGCTTCATTTCACTAGTTTTTGAACTTTTCAGGCAGTTTTCTCTGTGAATGTTCTAGTTCTACTCTGTGTATATCCTTTCTATTCATATGCTTGAAATCTGGCTTTTGTCCCTGCTGTCATAAAGCAATCACTTAAATAAATAAATAAATAAATAAATAAATAAATAAATAAATAAATAAATAAATAACCTTTTTTTCTCTTGCCCCCTGGCTGGGGGCTTGCCCTCACTTGGACCTTAGCTCTCTGTTCATCATTCCTTACACTCATCGACTAGCTGTTGGGACATCTCTTCTCATGGCTCCTATGTATCACCTCTGTGGCTCCCAGTTCCTATGTGAATTCCACCCTCCGATCTGCCCATCAGATACTTCTAACTGCATGTCATTCCAAACCTTTTCCCTCCCAAACTGCTGTCTCTTTCCATTTCCTTTTTGTAGGTGGCATTAAATTCCTCTTGGAATAAATTAGCATAATGTTTTGTTCTATTATTTTACGGGATGTTAAACGGTTGTGACTGATGCAGCAGCAGGAAGTGACAGATACTGGATCCCAAAATGAGTTGTGATTAAGACTAAAATGTGGAAATTTCAAAGTAACAGGTAGAGGGCTGATTAGATTCTCGTTCATGCGGAGGATCCAAGAGTGAGGTGACTGAAGATGGGTGGAGGGTGGGGCTTGAGATTTTGTTTGGATGGAGCACTTCTAGTTCTGCCGTCGCACCTCCTGCTCCACCCCTGCCTGTGGGCAGGGGCAGTGGCATCTACCACCAAGCCCGGTGAGGAGGGCTTCCCCAGGACCTCTGAGAGCGTGCTAGACTCCCCCCTGAGGAAGGTACTGCCTCCTCTGGCAGCAGAGTAGGGGACTGAACTTACAAAAGGTGTGTGAATTTCAGAGACTATACCGAAGAGTCCACAGGAGGAGGTCATTTTAAAAGAGATTCTGGCCTAAAAGTCTCACTGGGGGGGGGGGGGGGGGTTGATTGAACCCCAACTGCAAGAGTCTGTGTGGAATAAACCACATCAGTTAGAATAAGCAGTTGGAGAGAATCCATTGCCTGTATCCCAGGAAGTATGTATGGTCAGACATTCCTAGCACAGGACCACAAAAAGTGTTCTGAGAAAATTCTGCTTCAGGTAGCCACTAGGCCAGAGGGTGTGATGCCCTTTTGCAGAGTGCTGGTCTAGTACAGACTTACCTGTCCCTCCACTTCCCCTCTTCATATTATTGTCAGCAAGCTGGCCAGGATGGGGTGAGATGGAGCAGGAGCAGGGCCCCTTGGCCTGACTTCTGCCCAGAGAAAGTCCTTGCAGGGAAAGGGAGTAAGATTTTAACTACTAAATGGAAAACATGTTTTATCTTTTAGAGTAACAGGAAGGTTTTCTATTACCCAAGACAACAAGATAGTTGTGGGGCTGCTTGAGTTGTCATTCACTTGAAGAGGAAGAACTGTCCTCCTTGAATGGGACAGTAGGTGACAAAGCTTAAGTTAGGAGTCCTCTCCCTGAATCCTATTTATTCAGTGTCCTGGTTACATATAGTTTCAATTCAGCTTCTGGAGCAGTGAAATCATTTGATCAAAAAATTCTGTTCATATTGCCCCAGGATTACAAATTTGTAAACATGTCCTTGGCTCCTCTTGTATTAGTTTATGCGGTTAAGCTGTACTTTTTTTCAGACTAAGAAACGGTCTCAAGGGATGAGGATGAATGCATAAAGAACAATGCTTAACCACAGGACTGTTGAAGCAGTGAGTAAATGTTATGCATGATAGAGAACTTGTATCAAGACTATATAAAAACCTATTACACCTTAAAAAAAAAAAGGGCCAATAATCCAATTTAAAAATGGGCAAAGGATCTGAGAGCCACTTCTCCGGATATATGTTATCTTCTTTCAAAGAAGATAAACAAGTGGCCAGTAAGCACATGAAAGATGCTCAAAATATTAGCTCTCAGGGAAATGTAAATCAAAACCACAATGAAAGACCACTTCACAACCATTAGGATGGCTATAATAAAAAAGACAGATAATGACAAGTATTGGTCAGGATGTGGAGAAAGTGGAACCCTCAGACATTGCTGGTGGGAATGTAAAATGATGCAGCTGCTTTGGAAAGTAGTCTGGAAGTTCTTCAAAAAGTTAAACATGGTTACCATATGATGCATCAATTCTAATCCTAGGTGTATATTCAACAGAACTGAAAACATATATTCACACAAAAACTTGTACGTGAATGTTCACAGCAGCAGTATTCATAAAGGCCCAGAAGTGGAAACCCAAATGTCCATCAACGGATGAATGAACCAACAAAATGTGGAATATCCATACAATGGAATATTATTCATACATAAAAAAGAATTGAAGTTCTGATATATGATACAACCTGGATGAACCTTGAGAATATATGCTAAGGAGACAGACACAACATGGCATATATTACATGATTTCCTTTATAAAAAATGTCCAGAAGAGGCAGATACAAACATGAGTGAGTAAGTACTAAAGAGAACTGTTTGGGGTGGTAGGCAGGAGGAGAGACTGATTAAAAAGTTCTAAATTTGATTGTGATGGTGTTTGCATAACCCTGTGAATATATTTTAAAAACACTGAGTTGGGGCGCCTGGGTTGCTCAGTCAGTTGGGAGTCTGCCTTTGGCTCAGGTCATGATCCCAGGTCCTGGGATGGAGCCCTGCATCAGACTCCCTGCTCAGCAGGAAGCCTGCTTCTCTCTCTCCTACTCCCCCTGCTTGTGCTCTGTCAAAAAAAAAAAAAAAAAAATCTTAAAAAAAATTAAAAACACTGAGTTGTACAGTTTATTATTTTTTTGAAGATCTTATTTATTTGAGACAAAGAGCACACGCACGTGGTAAGCCACCCAGCTGCCCTCTGAGTTGTACAATTTAAATAGGTCAATTGTATGGTTAAGTTTGAAATGTTATTTGTGGTTAGACTAGGAGCCTCATGTTGGCAGGGATGGAGCAAGCTTTGCACATTACCTTATCAATCTAGCCATTGCCCCACAGGCACTCAACAAATATTTCTTGATGAGACAGCACACTTTTATACTGTACCTGACGTTTATACAGGGCTTCATAAATTTTCAATTTCCTTTTTTATCCCCACTGACAGCAGCAGTTCCTTTGTGCCTCGTAACTCCGAAGGTCGTCAGAGTGGGTGATTATGAGATTGTTATTGGCCCATATTGTGAAAAATGATCTGCTGTACAACAGAGAAAAAGATCCCCAAATATTTCCATCTGCTAAATTTTATCTTCCGATGCTCGCTCTCAGGCCTGTTTGTCTTGCACTTCTCGTGTCTCCCAGAGAGAAGAAAGCGCTTCCTAGTACGACCGGCACAGCGCTGATAGACTGGTTCCCAAACTGCAACCCTACGGCACAGCAATTCGGGTCACTTGTGGGGCAGAAACCAAAGAACCGAGATTCCTTTTCTAAGCAAACAAAGCAATGAAACCAGTAGGACTTTAGCTTTGGGATATTGGACCCAAGTCTTCTCAAATACTTCTAACCATAAGGTTTGAGGCGGTGTCCCACAGCCACTTCAATAGTGATTGGTTTGAGCGCCTTCCAGGCATCGGATTCAGGTTTCCAGGGTCTGGTCCCTTCTCCCACTCCCCATCTCCCCCACCCCCACGCTTGGGAGAAGAGACTCAAATTCCGCACATTTCTGCCAGAACCTTTCCGGCCAGAGGAGTGGGAGCGACCCTGCTAGGAGAATCTCGCTGGAAGCGCCGCAGACAAGAGGACCCCGGGGGTCTCAGGCAGCCGGGGCCCCTGGCGGGCGGACTCCCACTGGCCTCCAGAACTGCCGGCGCCTGTGCGATGGGGGGTGTCGTCCGAGAGGTGCACCCAGCGCCGGAAGCCTTGGCCGACTTCCCGGGGGGCGGGGGGGCCCTGGGAGGCCGGGGGCGGTCCCTGCGCGGCGGGGGGCGCGGGACTCGCGGGCGCCGCGGGCCGGAGCGCAGGTGAGCAGCGGGAGCGGGGCTCGCGGTCCCCGCCGTCCTCGCGGTCCCCGCCGTCCCCGCCTCCGCCTCCGCGGCGCCCGCGCTGCGCTCCACCCTCCGCGCGCCGGGCCCGGGGGCGGGCGAGGTCTCGGCCCAAAGGCTCGTGGGGCTTGGAGGGAAGCGGGCGGGGACGTGGGGGCCCCGGACCGCGCGGCCGCGGCAGGCGGCGCGGGGCGCGGGGCGCGGGGGCGCGGGGCGCGGCGGCCGCCGGAGCCGCAGGTGGTTCCCCGGGCCGGCCCTTTTCTCCTCCCCTTTCTTTCTTTCGCCTGCCCTCCCTCGCGCCCGGTGTCGGCGGCACTTCCCCCGCTTCCTCCTCCCTCTCCAATCGGGAGGGAGGGAAGGGGCCGCCGGCTCTTTCCTGCCTCCCTGCAAACTTGAGCGGGACTCCGGTCTCCGCTCGCCCGCGCCCGGGAGCCGCTCCTGGGACTTCCTCTCGCCGCGCGGCCCCGGCAGCCCCGCGCCCCGGCAGCCCCGCGCCCCGGCAGCCCGGCGGTGGGAGGGCCCCGCTGGGCGCCAGGCGGCCGCGGCTCCGACCCCGACCCCGCGGAGCCCTGCCCGCGGCTGCCCGGGCGCCTCCGCCTCGCCCGCCCGCCCGCCCGCCCGCGCGTCCGTCGGTCCGTGCTGCCCGCCGCCTCGCCGCCTCCCCGCGGCGCCCCGCCGCTGCCCGGACTTTCCTTTGTGTCGGATGCGCACCCGCGCCCCGCGCCGACGGGGGCCGGCCTGAGGGCTGCGCTCGCCCGGGCGGCCCGCCGCGCCTGGAGCCCCTCGTGGAGCCGCGCCTGGAGCCCGCGCCCCGCCGGCCCCCGCGCCCCGCCGGCCCCCGCGCCCCGGCCCCCGGCCCCCGGCCCCCGCCATGCCCTTCCACCAGAGGAGCGTGGAGCCCGCGCGGCTGCGCCGGCCCGAGGCGGCCGGGGCCGCGGGCGCGCCGCTCTTCCGCTCGCTGGAGCAGGTCAGCTCGCACGCCCTGGTCCGCCTGCTGGCGCAGCTCGCCGACCTGTCGCGCTGCGCGGGGGACATCTTCGGCGAGCTCGAGGGCCAGGCGGCCGCCCTGGGTGGCCGCGCCGCCGCGCTGCACCGCCGCCTCGACGCCCTGCACGCCGCCGCCGCGCGCCTCGACCACCGCCGAGTGAAAATCCGTGAGTGGCCGGCGGGTCGGGGGAGGGGAACGAGGCGGGGAGGTGCCGGCCAGCTGCTCCCTCCCGCCCCCTGGCGGCCGCCGCGCGGAGCCCGGACCCGGGAGCCCGGAGCCCGGAGCACGGAGCCCGCAGCCCGCAGCCCGGACCCCCGCGCCCCGGACCCCCGCGCCCCGCGCCCCGCGCGGGAGGGCTTCTCGGGCGGCCACGGCCTGACCCGGGACCGGGCCGCCGCGCAGGCGGCAGGCGGCAGGCGGCCGGCGGCCGGCGAGGCGGGCGCGCGTGTGGGAGCAGGGCTGGCCCGCCCCACTGCCCGGTCCTTCCGTCTGCGTGGGAGGCCGGGACGGGACCCCGGGCGCTGCAGACCAGGGGAGGAGCCAGGGTCGTGGGAAAGGGCCAGGGGGAAGATGGCCTGGGGGAGAAGCCGGGGTACGACACAGATACGGGTATAGAATGATTGCGGACCTTGAGACCCGGCGGGACCTGCAGCAATCCCTGGGGATCCCCGCGGGCCTCGGGGCTGCTGGTCGCCCCTCTGCCTGCCGCGGACCCGCGCTCTTACCTGCAGGCAAGTGGGCCGAGGCTTAGTGTGTGCGTGCGTGCCGGTTTGCCTTCCCGCCCACGAGCACTCCGTGATTCAAAGCACCTTGGCTTTGAGCTCAGGCTTTGAATCCCGCTCATCTTTGACCTCCTCCAACCCTGAAAATCAAGTCTGTGCCCTGACGTAGTGATGTCTCCCCAGCACCCGTTTCATTTCAGCAGCTTAACTAGCTCCAGTGAATGAAGTAACTGGAATTTCCTGCTGGCCCGAAGTGGAGACACTTTAAGTATTATGTTTGTGTGGTTTCTCCTCTTTTTACTACGTGGCCTTGGTCATAATCCTAAGTGTAAAGAACAAATTGGAGATGGTTGATGGACTGCAGGGCGTGAGGGCAGGTGTTGGTGGAACACTCGCCTGGATTTCCGCACCTCTGAATGCTGTGCTGTTTCCCCTACGATCGCTTCATGTACAGGCTCAGGCAACTGGTTTTCCATTTCTTTCTCCTGCTAGAAAAACTTAGCTATATTTTAATTATCTTAAAAGCGGAAGTGTGTTCACGTTTTCAGTATGTTAATACTGAAGACATTGCTTGCCTTAATACCTCTTTCTACAAGCTGTGAAGTTCTATGTGATGATTCACATTTTAATCTCTTTCATGGTGTTTATCGACAGATCCTGGTAAGTTGTGGACAGTTCCCAACTGGGAGAGCTTCCTCCCCTCCCCCACCCCCCCAAAAAAATGAGCGGAGAAAAAAATCAAGATGGTCTCATAAAGTTGTTGGATAGAATATAGGTATTGTGAATCATGACCTCATGCATCAGGATATACTGCCCTAGTGGAATGTCACAGTCCTCCCGGTGATGTCTCGTTCCCTTCTATGCCTTTTTTGTGTGGAGTGACTGTGTGGGTGAAGGATAATTTCACCCTTCAGGAGTGATGTGAGGAGGCAGATCTGACTGGTAGGTAAACTGATCTATTGTTGGAATTAGAAAACAGGAAAACTCTGCCTGAAGGTTCAAGAACTCCTTCTTTGCTAGTATTGTTTTGCATCTAAGCATTACTTTTCACTCCTTGTATGCATATGCCCCAAATAAGCTAATATCCACAGCCACAACTGCCCAAATGCCCTAAATTAACTACAATTGTCATAGTGACTTATAAAACTCTTTTTAAAATTTTTCACAAGTTTGTTTGAACCTGAAATAGCTTTGATTTTATACTAGAAACCTGGCTCATCATTTTTTTTTTTTTATGATTGAGAAAGAAGGCTCTTATTGAATATAATTATGTGTGAGAGTAGAAGTGCACGTATGGAGAAGAAAGCTGAACTGTAAAGATATTAGTTTTTATGGTATTTCACCTTCACACACTTAACGTTTTTATTGCTAAAAAGCAATGAAACACCTGTGTATTCATTTTACTTAGCTTCTTTTAGATTTTACAAAAAAATGTGTCAGACTTTGTTCCTGAGTGAAAGCTACGTTTTGAAATCCCTTGGGTCCCTTTTTAGGCAAGTCTTCCAAATAACATACTCCATTTGAATGGACATGTGGACTTTTAGACTTGGAGTTGACTGTGAAGTCCATCTACTTCATTAACTTATTGAGAGAGGAAATCAGGTCCTAGAGGGTTGAAGTGACTCGCCTGATTATGTGGTGGGCTCCTGGCACAGCCAGGCCTGGAGCCCGGACATTCTGATTGGCTTGCCTGCTTGTCCCACTGAGCATCTCTCTTCCTTTTAGAATCACATGGGAAATAGGAATAAAGTTTAGATACATTCCACAAACAACCCAAAGGATAGCTATGACTGCTAATTTCATCCTTCTTGTTAGATAAACCTTTTAATGAGTCTCCCAAGGAGCGAGAGTAACAGTACTGAATGGTTTAGAGGATCCGACTACAATGGGAGATTATGTATATTTCCTTGCTTAATGGGTCTCTACCATACTAAAGGGTGTGAGTGCAGCTGTTTTAAAAACATGTAGACTATCTTTGCAATAGAGAAACATTTTAGTTCTGTGGGCAGTGATTCTAAGAAATATTTCATCAAGTTTGCCTTTCCTCAGAATCTCATAGGTTGATAGTTATTCAAATTAACTTTTTGTCATAAGTTGGGGAGAACATACATCACTTTTTCTCCTACTTTTTATTTTTTTAATTTAAAAACTTTAAAATTTAAAATTTTTTTTAAAGTTCAATTAATGTATAGGGTATTACTAGTTTCAGAGTTAGAGTTTAGTGATTCATCAGTCTTATGTAATACCCAGTGCCTATTCCATCATGTGCCCTCCTTAATGTCCATCACCCAGTTACCCTATCCTCCCACCCATCTCCCTCCAGCAACCCTCAGTTTGTTTCCTGTGACTAAGAGTCTTTTATAGTTTGTCTCCCTCTCTGATTTTGTCTTGTTTTATTTTTCCTTCCCTTCTCCTATGCTCTTCTGTTTTGTTTCTTAAATTCCACGTATGAGTGAGATCATATGATAATTGTCTTTCTCTGATTGACTTACTTCACTTGACATAATACCTTCTAGTTCTGTCTTGCAAATGGCAAGATTTCATTTTTTTTGATGGCTGAGTAGTATTTCATTGTTTGTGTGTGTGTGTGTGTGTACACACACACACACACACACACACACACACCACATCTTTATCCATTCATCTGTCAGTGGATATCTGGGCTCTTTCCATAGTTTGGTTATTGTGGACATTGCTGCTGTAAACAGTGGGGTGCAGGTGTCCCTTCGGATCACTACATTTGTATCTTTGGGGTGAATACCTACTAGTGCAATTGCTGGGTCTCTCCTAGTTATCCTTAAAGACTCCCCTAATGTTTTCTTGACACCCCAGGATTGGAAGGAGTCCTCCCATAGCATCTATTATGGGCCTCCATTGTGTCTATCACTGCATTTACCAGCATGGGCTGAAATTGTGTATGTACTTCTGCTCCCCTCTGCTAGATAGCAAACTACTTGAGGTCAAGGATGGCTGCATCTTAATTTTTCCAAAGTTCAGCTGTACTGCAACGGGATAGCTCAGTAGATATTTGAACTGAACCAATATTTGGCTTCTTAGCGCTCAGTGTCAGGAAGAACAACTACAAAAATCTTTGGGAGGAACTGTTACTGACTACTATAAATCTACGTGAACAAGACAATAACTTTAAAAACAAATGAAAAAGTAAACTTTCTACCTTTTTTAAGGTTGTGCTGAACCACTAGTATACTCCTTTCTCTAAAAGTCAAACTTCATTAATTTTGCTGACAAGATCAGTGCTTATTGAAAGTAGTAACAGTAGCTAGAAATGTGGGTAGTTCTCTCTCTGCTCTGTAAACAATCAAAACAGATTTTCCTATGCAGAAATCAATAGACACTCAACCTAATAGCCTGTTTGATTATTAAGCCTCATGTGATTTGTTTCTTTTTATAATTAATAACATTACACTTATGTAGTGCTTTTTATGATTGAGAAAATGTTTTTCATATTCATTATTTCACTCA